CCCAACAACATAGGCACCCACCACACTACCAGTCCTAGAGGGAGGGATAAGAACCAGGTTCAGGTAGGAGCTGTCCAGAGTCACAGCACCCTTGAACTAGAACTTGAGAGAAGCCCACCTAAGCCTCCTGAGAGACTCTTCAGTGGGGTGTGGGGAGCTAGAACTAAGGAGATCAGCACCAGGTACCTAAAGGGCAGAGACCCCATAGAGAAGAAGTCTGTGTGGCCTAGCAAACAGGTACCATGGGTGCCCGGTGGACCCAGGAGAGAGGCCCGTGGGGAGATGGAAAACTGGAAATCTCAAGGCAGAGGGAGGGAAGAGAAAAAAACTAACAACCCAGAGAGGCGTTTTCTAAACATTTTTGTCCTCTGAAGAGAGGGTTAGGAGTCTCTGCGTAGTTGCAGATGATACTGATAGAGAGAGAGAGAGAGAGAGAGAGAGAGAGAGAGAGAGAGGAGGGAGAGAGAGAGAGAGAAAAGGGAATTGGAAGGAGAGCACAACAGAAAAAAACAGCTCAGAAGAGACAGGCAGAGAAACGGGGATCCTGCCTTCCCAGGCCCTCAGGGGGAGCCTAACCACCCCCCTCTCCCCCCCAAGCCCAGCCCAAGGCTGCCCCTTGCTCACCCTCAGATTCCTGCCGGTCCGAGCCTGAGGACTCCCACAGCTCTGACCAGGCGGGACCAGCGTATGCTCAAGTGTGCTGTGTGCCTGCCCAGCCAGTCCGTGTCCAACCTGGGCTGGTCTCGCAGAGTTCTTGGCACCTGTTCCCTGGGTATGTCTGAAGCTAAATCTGGGTCCAGGTATGGCGCCTGTGATTTGTATCTCTGATCACTTGTCTGTGTGTGTGTTTCCGTGTATAACTGTGGAGTGAGTGAGTGCGTGTGTGTGTGTGTGTGTGTATGTGTGTGTGTCTGCATCCAGCCCTGGCTTCCTGCTCTCTGCCTCCCCCACCCCTGCAGCCCTGGCCAAAACACACACTTCCTGAAAACACTGAGAAAGAAAGAAAAGT